TTGCCCTTGCTTTCTCTCAAAGCTTCGGACAACTTGTTGCTGTTACGAGCAACCGTCTGGCGGCGTGCGAAATTCTTCGACGCCCCAGAGTCAATCAAGATTCTAAAGGGATGATCGTATCCCCGTACACATCCGTGTACTACGAGCAACCCGCCGCTGCTCTTCGCCTATTCGAGAGTGCGAAGACTCTCAGGGGCTAAGTCCCCGTGGTACGCGCCACCCGCGCACCCATCACGAAGACTTAGTTCTTCCCCAGTAGGGCGCCCCGCCCCTACTGGTTCCCTGCGTTCACCTGTCCCCGGGATCCTGGCTTTTGCCAGCGACCCTTGAGGACGGGCTTGGGGAAGGACCGTCTGCGGAGTTTTTCCGCGGGACAGTCGCGCTTGAAGTGGCCCATCTTCCCACAGTCGAAGCAGCGGATGTCACGCTGTTCGGCGGACCCGAGTTCCATGGGAACTGGTCCGTTGGGGCTTGTTCGACCGGGAGCCGACAAGGAACTCCCAGGCCACGCTGAGGCCGGCGTACGCGCCTGGCGATGGCTGTACTCTTCTTGAAGAGCCACTTGAATCGCCTCTTCAAGGGTGCTTGCCTGCACCCGGAACAGCTGAGTGCGTGCGGGGCCCACTCGAAGGCCGTCCATGAACACAGTCATCTTGATGTGTTCATTGAGTGGGTTTCCCACTAGGGACGCCGTGAGCTCCCGTATCTCTTGCACATACTCGTGCAGTTCGCGCCTTCCTTGTTTACACGCGAGGAAGTGCGAACGCTGGCGGTACTCGTAGCTCGCCGGGAGGAACGCGGCTCGGAGCTGTTCGCACAGCTGAGCCCAGGATGTGAAACATCCAGGGGATGTTGCTTCCCGAGTGTACACCCAACTCTTTGCACGACCGCTAAGGTTGGAGAGTGCAAAAGCAACACGCAGTTGCTCGGTCGAGATCAGAGCCGCGTCCATCGCGAGCTCTACTTCTCGGACCCAGAAGTGAAGGTTCTCGCCTTCCTTCCCTTCATACGGCTTTACCTTCAGCCGTATTGGCTTCGGGTGAGGCGGATTTGCTTCCGCCGCCGGAGCCTGCAGGTTCTCCCGCACATGCGCGATGAGGCCCTGCTCGTACGCGTCGAATGCATTGACGCGCTCGAGCTGTTTATGACGTGTCATACTCCTGAAGTGTGGAGTGTCACACTTCATGTAACCAGGGTACACTTAGGGCTACGTACCCCGTTACACCCTCTATCCTTGTTTGGCAGCCATCAACAGCAGGGTTAGTATTACCGAGAAAAAAGTGGTAGTAAAATTACCGGTAATACTAGCGTATTTTTGCCCCGATACTACTACTAATATTAGTCAAAACACAACACGGTCGTAGTATTAGTACTATTATTACTAGTACTCAAAGTACTACTCTGGTACTTTTGAACGTCGCGCACCTTGCGTGCGTCTTGCTTCAACCTAACAATCTCGTCCCTGTTGTGCCTCAGCAGTAGCTGCTTCTCCGACCGTCTGTTATCTGTTCTGGTACGAAGCCGCCCCATGATTATCCCCCCTGTGGAAAACACTCGCTCTTGGAAGGCCGAGGATGCGATCTTGCCGAGGTGAATTCGTGCCAGAAGCGCCATCGAAGGGTATAGGCTTTCGCCTTCATCACGGAACCACTGTTGCACATAAACATGTTTGTACAGCCCCAGTAAGGACCAGCACATGCCGTTGCGGCTGTCAGTAGTCATTGCGGAGGACAAATCTTCTTTCTGGATGTCTGGATTTTGGCGTTGGGCAACCTCGAGCCACTCAGGCTCCATCTCTAGCCATTCTCTCATGATACTTTCCGCTCTCGCATTGATTTCTGACTCCTTCACCTCTTCTCTGGTCTTGCTCGTTCGAATTGGAGCACCGAGCAGCAGCTCATCTTCATCGTCCCAGACTGTCGATGACGGAGAGGAAAGGGGGGAATTCACGTCCTGACTGAGTAAGCTGCTCTGCGAAGAGGGCGGCGACAGCGACATCTTGCCCAACTTCGCCATCTGCGCGAACACTTTGCGGTGCTCAGCTCGGAGGTAATCAAGGCCGTTTTTGTAGGTAGCCTTTTCCTCTTTGCGCGGGACGTTGCCGACAGCGGCGATTTTCTTTGCACTTGACTTAGTCCGGGGATCGAAAAGTATACACGCCATTGCTTCATTCGTCACCTTGGGAAATCGTGCCTGTAGTTGTAGTAATGTCCTCCTCAGACATGTCTTCCCTGCTTTCGAGAACTGACCTATTGTCTTCACCGCGCGGCGATGACTCGCTTCATTTGTATCCTTTGCCCGAGGGGCCTTGACGACCATCGCATCGAGCTTGAACGACTTCAGCTTCTTTTTGGCAAGGCGTCGGAATACTACCATGTAGGACGACACCATATTTTCGCTCTGCGTTTCTATAAGCGTCAGGTTGGCGATGAAGTGTGTAACGGCCTCCATCTCGGTAGCAAGAGTCCAGTCGTCGATAGATAAATTTGACCACACGCTACTGGAGTCTTTGGTTGACTGGAAGTACGCTTCGAACGCTGCATAGTTCACCACCGACCGCCTAATGAGCTTGCAAGTATAAGCGACTCTGACGTCCTTGTCGACCATGGGGTCCAGCTCAGGATAGGAGAGAGCTTCTTGAATTGTTTTCAGCGCGTTGCGTTGTTTCGGGGATCTGAAATGGTTATTCAAGTTCCTTAGCTTCTGAATGACGTCACCTCCATCCTCTAGAGATCCACCAGGAGCTACTATGGTCACCACCCTATCCCAGGAATGGCACGCGGCGTTCCAAACAGTATTCGTTTGAATATTGTCGTTGATCCCAAGTCCATACCCAATGCACAAGTTGAGTAGATGCATTGAGCAGTCCTCTTGGTCGCCGTCGATATGATCGGCGACGTTCCGAGCCGAAAGTGTCGTGTCGGACATAGTGAAGCGAGTCATAGCATTGACGTCGATGTTTTACTTCGCCGTGAATCCACTCTCGATCACCTTTGCAACTAGAGGTGTGTTGTATCCCTCGTTCTTGACGGTTGCGAGCATTGCAATGAATCTAAACCGCCATGAAGTATGAATGAAGGCCACCGACGCTCCGACGATACTGCCTTTCCCGCAACTCGTCCAGATATCGTGAAGGAGATTTAAGTATGGAAGACGACACGCTTTTCCGTACTCAGAAGTAAGTAGCTCACCCACAAGATCGCAGAAGAGTTGGAATTGCACCGGTCATGTCGGTCGTGACTGAGCATCGGGAAAGCCGGATTGCCTGTTGGGGCGCGCATCATCTCTTCGAATGGCGCCGATCTGCATGCCGGAAATGGTATTCCTTGACTAATTAACCACTTGGAGATCAGCACGTGCAGCGTCTTTTCATTGGCTTTGAAGAATTGCTGCGGTGAATTTGCGGCAATAGCCACAACAGATGAACCCGTCATACTAGTCGCCTTAGTAGCCGATGAAGTAGTAGTAGTGTCCACGTTCGAATCAATCGTCAAGTCTAGCACCTCCATAGCTTCAGCTTCAGCGTTAACGACGTCCGCTTTTGCCTTTTGAGTTGTAGACTGCTCCGCTAGCACTGCCAAAGGGTGGTCAGCATGTTTCGTCTTGATATGGTCCTTGGCATTACTGGTATTCTTCGTGCAGCGTAAAGCGCCCTCCCAACTGTAAGGTGTGATTTTTTTTCCGGCCTTTAATTTTCTCGCAACAGAGCAGACAAATGTTGCGATAAACCTGTACAGACGGCTTCCACGGGTTCCGCTTCGTGTATGGTTTGTCCAAGACGTGAATGAGATCCCAAACCGAATCCGTAGCTCCAATCTTCTTTGAATGTGAAACCGAAAGCGGCACGCCAAGATCCGAGACCGGTGAAGTCGGTGTCGGAGGGAGTACAGTATCTAGACCGCCATCAACACGAATTGTGGTACTCTCCAAAGCCTCGGTCCTTTTTACCTTCGCTGCTGTCTTGCGCCGCTTCACTGGACGCGCAGATACTGCTGTGTCCGATGTGGAGGCGATCTCCGGAGACGGTAAGAAGTCGGAATTAGATCCAGTCCAGATATTAGTCGAAGCCTTAGAAGAATTAGTCACTGGCCTCCTCGAAGAAGCGGCTACGGCTGGTGTAGAGGCACCTGTGCCAGGGTAAACATGCAGCACGCACGACTGGCTGCCAAAGCTGCGACTCAGCAGAACGTAAGCGTTGATATTATACAAAAGTTGAATGAAATACATTTCGTTCAGTGCCGAGCCCTCTCCTTCGAGCACTCCAATTGCGCACATGTGATGAGTCGGTTTTCCGCATACGCTGCACGGATCCCTTTTGAGATCAGGACCTTCCTCACAATTGGTAACAGCACAAGGCATCCTCGGTCGCCGTTTCCAGGTCAGTGATGCGGGCAATGGCGAAATCCAGTTCTTTTCAAAAATGGCGAGCTTCTGCGAGCAACGCAGGACAGCCACAGGTTTATAAGATTGCGAAATGAGGGTCTGTTGCTCGTTGACTGGCTTCATGGAAAATATTACTCCTCAAAGTAATATAGTACCGACTCAGGTGAGTAATACTACTACAAATAGCTAATACCACACTATGCGGTATTAATAGTAATATTAATTAAATAGTAGTAGTATTAGTATTACTCTTAAGTAATAGTTTTAAATTACCCTTAACCTCTGACCAACAGTGCTGCCAAGCACGTGGCTGAATTGATTTAGATGACGAAGTCGAAGAACCTTAAAACTAATTTGGAGGCGTTTGGCGGATATGCAGGGCTATTTCCGAATGGTGCCGCCACACTTTGGTTGACGAGTGAGGAATACTATTTAACCCTGAAAGCTAGATACCAATGCGATAAACTTCAGCTTATGTCACTAAAACGCGGTTTGTGTATGACCATGACAACCTCTATTTTATGTTTGATACACCACTCTTAAGCCTTCCAACCACCACCAAGCATTTGCTTGTTGAGCTTGCTAGAAGTACAGCACCTCGTTCTCCAGCAGCAGCAATGGGTGCGCAGAAGAAGAAGGCTAAGTTTGTGGCAAAGGGTCTGCTGCAGCAGAAGATCAAACAGCGCAATGCCAAGAAGAAATTCCAGACCATGAAGGACAAGAAGCGCAACCGCTTCGAGCGCAACAGTGACGCGCCTAGCAAAAAGAAGCCGCGCAACGCTGCAGCCGATGGCGGCTCCGGAAAGAAAGATGAGCCGGACATGCTGGACGAGATGGACGTAGACGACTTCCTGAACGCCGATTTCCTCGACTCGGACAACGAGGAGATCGACGACGAGGTGGTCGACGATGCTGGCGATGACGACAGCAAGGCCAAGGTCAAACTGGAGAAGGACGACGACGACGTGGACGACGGTAGTAGCAGTGAAGAGGAGGACGAGAGTGCTCTTGATCCTCGCTTCATGACAGGCTCTATGGCTGGTGGAGATGACGACGACGACGAGGCTGAAGAAGAGGAGGATGCTGAACAGGAGCAGGAGTTAGAGGAGCAGAGCGCTGGCCGCACTGTCGTCACTATGGCCATCTTGCAGAAGGCCGAGAAGGAGTGCTTCGAGACCAAGTCGGTCTCTGGTTTGCGTCGTTTGATGAAGATCTTCAGTGACGCCTGTCGCTCCAGTGACGCTGCCGACTCCAGCAAGGAAGGCGAGATCACGTTTGACGTGCAGAGCAGCGCCGTGTACAACCGTCTGATGGTTAATGTGTTCCGTCAGACCCACGAGACATTAACCGCTCTGGTAGTACTCGAGTCTTCGTCCGAGGAAGACGCGAAGCTCAAAATTGACGACAAGAAGTGGAAGAAACACTCGCTCGTGATTCGTCGATTCTTCAGCTGCGCCTGCTATCTACTTGAGCAAACCACGGGTCAGGACATCCAGACGTTCGTGCTACGTGAGCTGGTGCACTACATCCCGTTCGTCGTGCCGTGTCCCAAGACGTCACGGCGGATCCTCAAGGCGCTGCTCAAACTGTGGGCAAAGTCACTAAACGCCAATGTGTGCATGTTGGCCTTCGTCCGTATCCGTGACATGGCTCTGGCTGTGCCTTTCCCATTCTTGGAACTCTGTCTGAAGGGTATCTACGTGACGTACATGCGCAACACCAAGTTCACGAACGAGGTGACGCTACCCCACCACATCCTCATGGGCAACTGTGTGGTGGAGCTCTTTGGCCTGGACCTCAGTAGCTCGTACCAACACGCGTTCGTGTACATTCGGGAGCTGGCTATTGCTGTGCGTAAGACCATCACATCTCCAGGCCCAGATTCGTTCAAGGCTGTCCTCAACTGGCAGTTCTTCAACCAGCTACGTGTATGGACTGCTGTCGTATGCGCGTATCCGGCCGAGAACCAGCTCCGTGCACTCGTGTACCCCTTGAGTCAACTCCTACTGGCCGTCGTGCGACTATCAAGCACGTTACGCTTCGCTCCGCTGCGTTTCCACTGCGTCAAGTTGCTGCAACAACTCGCTCTTGCCACCAACTCGTTCATCCCCACGAGCCCATCGCTACTTGAAGTGCTACAGCTCGAGCCGTTCCGTTCGTCGTACAAGTCTAGTGCCGCCAAGAAGGCTGCCAAGGGCAGCAACCCGACCACGGAGGTGGACTTGGAGCTTAGTGTGAAACTGTCCAAGACAGCATTGGACGCTAAGCGCGTGCACGACCAGATCATCGTGAAGCTCTTTGAACTGCTACAGCGCGAGTGCGATGTGTACAGGTTTAACGTGGCCTTCCCGGAGCTGGCCGTGCCTCTACAGCTCACGCTCAACAAGTTCGTGCACGCGTGTGCCGTCCCCAAGTGGAAAGCACAGGCTCGTGGACTCAGTGACAGTATTAAGAAGCGTGCGGACTGGATCCGCTCCAAGCGCAGCGGTCTGGACTTGAGTCCCAAGGATACAGCGCAGCTGGATGACTTCCTACGTGCCGAGCGTGAAGCTGCGGTGAAGAAGATCTTCGAGAAGGACGCGTCGGATCTGCAGGAGAAACTGGACGCGTCGGCTGAGGCCTCTAAGGAGGAGAGCAAGCCTGTTGCAGAGAGTAAGAAGAAGAACAAGAAGAAGAAAAAACGTGCTAAGAAGAACGGCACGCCTGTGGACGAAGAGACGGTGGCGAAGGTCAAGAAGATGTCGCTCAAGGAGTTTAAGAAGTCGGTGGCAGCAGTGGACGCCGCTGATGAAGTCGGTGACTTTAACTTCTCGTCGGACGAGGAGTAAGAAGAGAAGCATTTTGAATAGATACATGACATGCATAAAAAGAGGTACTTAGAGTTGTGCTTGTTGGTAGCAAAAGCGCACGTTCTTGTCTACAGATGAGCAAGTTGTCGCGCTCTGCCTAATACAGACTGGTCTTCTTCATAATGCGCAGGAACTCGTCCTCGTTGATCTCGCCGTCGCCGTCGCGGTCGGCCTCGTCGATCATCTCCTGAAGTTCCTCGTCCGTCATGTTCTCGCCGAGCTCCTTGGCCACACGTTTGAGGTTGCGGAACGAGATTTTACCAGTCTCGTCGTCGTCGAATAGACGGAAGGCCTTGAGGATCTCCTCGCGCGAGTCCTTCTCGCTCATCTTGGACGTCATCATCTCGAGGAACTCGGTGAAGTCGATGGTGCCGCTGCCGTCCTTGTCGATGTCCGAGATCATCTTCTTGATCTCCTCCTTCTTGGGCTCAAAGCCCAGTGCGCGCATGGCCACCTTAAGCTCCTTGGCGTCAATCGTGCCGCTGCCATCCGTGTCGAACAGGTCGAAGGCCTCGCGGATCTCCTGTTTCTGCTCTTCCGTCAGCTCAAACTTCTTGTTCTTTGCAGCTGCGCCTTTGGCCTTGGCGCCGCCGCGTGAGCCGTATGCAGAAGACATGGGTAGATAGATCCAAGAGGCTGTTACTAGCAGAGGCGTCTAGAGAATGGAGCCCCGCCGTCGCCTTTGGTGCCTCTTGGAAGGCAGCGAAAGATCGCCGCTGATACGGTTACTGTGGTTACGGGCATTTGGACGGGACGCAGCAGGATGACATACGGAGTTTAAGATAATCAGCTGGTGGGGTGTCCAAACAGCTGACGCTTTATCTCTGACTTGCTGAATGTAAGCTGGAGGGGTACGATTCGGGTTACTCAAAGTTACAGATGACGCAGAGAGCCAGATTTGTTGCATGCATAATCGGGCCACTTAAAATGTCGGCGGAAAAGGAGTGAACACCACGCGTCCAAAGCCTCAATTTTGCTTGTTGCTTTTTGTCGTGCACTTGTGCCGCATTTGCCCAACAAAGCACAGCAGAGTGGAAGACATCCCCCACCCGTTCTCTGTTGCGCACAGCTAATCTCTCGCTCTGCAGGACCGGGGGGCCATGAGTATCAGCGTCAGTCGAGAGTCTATCTCCAAGCTCATGGGCGAGCTCGTGGACGGTTTCCCCATAGAGGGCGATGGCCGCTCGTCTATCTCAGACTTCGGCAAGCTGCTCTTCACGGAGGGCCAGGCCAACGGCAGCAGCAACGCGGCCAAGTCCGGCCAGACAGGGCCGAGTGCGGCCAACAGCAAGCCAACTGCGGCCACCACGAGTCGTGGCACTACTTCTTCGTCAAACGGCTTGACGACTCAGACTCAGACTGGAAGCAAGCGTGTGTTCACAGAAATTAAGGGCATACCCCGCCAGAAGCAGCATGATGTGCGTACTGTTGATCAAGAGCTGCAAGCTGTTATTTGCGCTGTATATTGAGTTTTTCTTGCTGCTGATGTCGCCACAGATTATGAAAACCAAGGACAAGGCCGTGCCTAAGCGCTGGACGCCAGAGGAAGACGACAAGCTCCGTGAGGCTGTGGGCCGCCATGGCGAGCGCAACTGGAAGTCGATCGCCGAGGAAGTACCTGGCCGCAACCATACACAGTGTCTACAACGATGGACAAAGGTGCTGGCCCCCGGCCTCGTGAAGGGCCACTGGCGGCCGGAAGAAGACGACTTACTAAAAGAGCTTGTGGCCGAGGGCCGCAAGAACTGGGGCCAAGTGGCCACTCGTATCCCTGGGCGTACGTCCAAACAGTGTCGCGAACGCTGGTACAACCACCTCGATCCGAGTATCATTCGTGGCGAATACTCGCCGGAAGAGGACCGCATGATCCTGGACGCACAGGCCAGACTGGGCAACCGCTGGTCGGCCATCGCCGCCATGCTGCCTGGCCGTACAGAAGACGCTGTGAAGATCCGATGGAAATCGCTCTGTCGAGTGCGCAAAGGGTGCGTTGATATTGTGGCCAAGTAAAAAAGGAATATTGATAGTAGGCTAACGGTATTTATTGCTTGCAGACAAGGCCGTCGTGGTCAACCCGACAAGGGTAAGATGACTCCCAAGGGCGTTATGATGCCTGGCCAGATGATGCAACAAGGTCCAGGCTTTGACGGTGGAATGGTGAAGAGTGAGGAAGTCGCTGCGTTCTCCATGCACCCACAGCAGCAAGGCACGCAAATGGTGCGTCTTCCGAATGGCCAAATGATGGGAGGTAATAATATTCAGAGTGGAGGGCAACACCACTCGATGATGGGGAGTATGGGCGGGAACGGGATGATGTACCATAGCGACATGAGTGGCGGTGGGTACGACCCTACCATGGCCCACTACCGGAAGCCTCCGATGCAGCAACACATTGTGAACAATGTATACGAGCATCCTTTGCCGCCTGCAGGACCAATGGCCGGCAATAACTCGCAGGACTATCCCGTTGACCGTCGCTCGAACATGGCCAACATGTCCACTGGGATGTCAGCACATTCACAACATTCCCAAGCACAGGACGGATACAGACAAGAGTACCAAGGCCCGTCTTCGGGATATCCCTCCAATATGAACAGCGGTATGTACTCAGCGGGGCCGTCCACGCCTAGCGGAGGGATGAACAACGGACAAATGTATGGCGGCAGCTCGCAGATCAACAATTACCGAGCTGGAGGAGCCATGTACAGCGACTCACAGGTATCTTCGCATCATTCGCAGCAAATGGCCCATTCGCCACACCCTCAGATGGTGTCGTACGACTACGGCATGCCTCCATCGACTAAAAACATGAATGGAGGAGCGTCATCAAGCCACCCGCTGCATCCAGGCAATAATTCCATGCGAAACCCCGCTTCGGCCTTTGCGCATCGACAGCAGCACTCGCATCAATACGTGGATCGCCCTGTCCACCTCCCACACCACGTGGCTCACCATGAACAGCAGCACCCGACCATGCAACGCCGTATTCATGCACACGAGCACGACCAACCACACCCAGAGGAGGAACCGCCAGTACATCACCAACATCATTTGAAGCCGAGATCAAGTGACATCCAGCCTAAAGAGGAGCCGCGGCCCGGCCGAATGGCGCAGCCAATGTCCAACCCGGCTGCAATGTTCGCCCGTAGCCAGGCGGCCAAGGCTTCACCTTCGGCGGCCAACAGTAATCCAGTCGCGGCCTTCATGCACATGCAACATCATCAGAAGCGTAAAGAACAGCCGAGCGCGTCTAGCAAGATGGCCCAAGCTGGCCCACCGAAACCTTTCAACCCGGCCGCCGCGTTCGCCCAGCGGTTCCAAGCTGGCCAGAGACCACCAATGCCCAGTAGCAACTCAGGCTCTACCCGATCTAACGATGATACGGCCGACGAGGATGACGACGGAGAGAACGGCCGGACTACTGAACCTTCTCTCAAGAAGGTCAAGCCGAGACTTAGCATCGATGCCGCGCGGGCGTCGGCCGCACGGAGAATGCGCAGCTCCGGTAGCGGCGACAATCTGGCCGGCCGTGGAAGTCTGGATGTGTTTTTGAACGAGATCGGCGACGTTGGCCGGTTGTCGGACCTCAAGATGGACGGCTTCCAGACGCTAGAAGAGCTGTGGCGAGTCTCAGGCGACATGGATCGACTATCGTTATGAACATGTTTTGGTCAGGAATAAGTAGGCAACAATCAAGCTTCGTTTTGTGTAGATTTATTCGCTGTGTTGTAATCTTGGAAGATTGCGTTGCTGACGGGTCAGGAATGTAATCCTCCCTCGTCCCCAGGGGCTAATGGTAACCAAATATCATATGATATTTTTGATAGTAATAGTACTATTTTCGATATTAAATATTAATAGTAACTCATTTTTGCAAAAGCTAACATAATATTTTTATATTAGCTCGGAGAACTGAAAAATATTAGATACTACATGATATTTTATGATATTTTCCCACTTAAGTACGTTTCTTGCCAGCTTACCTCTGTGAACCGAGCGGAGCCAAATAACTTTTTCGATCAGGTTCTAGAAAAGCAGTAGGCTTTAAGACTGACGAGTATTTGCTCTAGTATTTCACTGTGACACAGACAAAGGCGATCGAGATGGAAAACTGCAAACGCTTGCAGCTGTTTAACGTTGATAGAGCGAAATCAAGACATTTGTTCTTGTTCTCTTCCGATCTCCTCGTCGACATCGTGCGTCTAATAAACCTGCTGCCTGTGGCGCTAGATTAATGCGCTCAGCAGTGCCAACACACAACGCCAACCTTGCCGTCACTCACAATTGTCCCGGTACTCACGGTTGATTAGTAATACTTCAGCTAGTCGAGCGTTAACGACATCTGATTAGTTAATGTAGCCCGATTACGCAATCATTGAAAAATATAATATCGTATTAACTAATATTAAGTTGATATTTAATAATATCATATTGTCTCAAAAGAAAATATTAGGTGATATTTTTTATATTAACTGGTCTACAGGTGATATTTTCACAATATTAACTTCACCGATTTTGGAGTTACCATTAACCCCTGCTCGTCCCCGCATCCCACTCATGTCATGTTCTTTCTGATGACGTCTTCATGACGTCAACTGATACCCACGGGTTCAAGGTCACGGGTTTTCGTGTTCCATTTTCATTATACAATTTGCAAAGAGAGATGGTGCCGATAGACAGCCAGGGTGCAGATTACTGGGAGGTTGCTAGTGCACCTACTAGTCCGGCAAACCAGCTTCGTGACGATGTTGATCGTGTCGTGTACCTTGAAGTCTCTGGTCTGAGCTGCGAGAGCTGTGTTCGGAAAGTTCAAGACGCGTTAAATGCAGTGGACGGCGTCGCTAACGCTACGGTGGAGTTTGGGACGAAACGAGCTACCATTTGTCTGAAGTCGAGCAGCCAAATCACCAAAGACGACTTAGTTAATGTAGTGCAATCCCTTGGCCAAAAGTATGCAGCTTCTGTGTGTCTACTATCCGCTGAAGAGAAGATTTCTAGTGTGACGCAGCACTCTGAAAGACTCATGACTGAGGGGAACGCAGTTACCATTCCAGTCGAAGATATTGATGACGAATCTGTCAGCGTGACTCTGTTGATTGGTGGTATGACGTGTAATTCCTGTGCTGCTTCGGTTGAAAGTTCATTGAAACAGACTGTAGGTGTCGTGTCTGTTGTGGTTAACTACGCAACAGAGAAAGCAGTTGTCCGATATGACGAGAGTGTAGTTGATGTACCAGCACTTATTGAAGCGGTTGAGACTATCGGATACGAAGCTTCGTTCGTGTCTGGAGATAAAAAAGCTCCTGCTAACGCAACGTTAGTGATCGGTGGGATGACGTGTAACTCGTGTGCCAACTCTGTCGAAAATGCTCTGAAAAACACAAAGGGCGTGTTGTCTGCCACTGTGAGCTATGCAACTGAAAAGGCCGTGGTCGTTTTTGACAAGGAGGTGGTCGGTACCCGATCACTTCTTGAAGTCGTAGAAGATATTGGCTACGAAGCTTCGTTCGTGACGGGGAATGAGGCCCAAAAAGCGCTCGGAGACCAGCGTACAAAGGAGATCAAACGCTATCAAGTGGATTTCGTGATTGCGCTTCTGTTCACGCTTCCTATCCTGCTGGTTATGCTGGTTTTTGAGAACATTACTCGTTTTAAACATGGCCTAATGACTGAGATTCTACCTGGTCTTTCATGGGAGACTTCGGTTGTGGCGATTCTCGCGACTCCTGTGCAGTTTTACTCAGCTCGTCGCTTCCATATCGAAGCTTGGAGAGGAGTTAAGAACCGAGTTCTAGGCATGTCATTTCTGGTTTCTATGGGGACGAACGTGGCGTATATCTACGGCTGGTTCACTGTTATCCGCGCTATCGTACTGGACGATGCGGACGTCGCGAACATGGACATGTTTATGACCTCGTCTGTGCTGATCTTGTTCGTGGTTCTTGGGAAATTACTGGAAGCAATTGCAAAGGGGAAAACGTCTGCGGCGTTGACGAAATTGATGGAGCTGCAAGTTAAATCAGCCACATTGTTGGTCTTCAGCGCAGACAAGACAAATATTCAAGAGGAAAAAATAGTACCCATTGAACTTGTACAACGTGGAGATGTCTTGCGAGTTGTTCGCGGCTCTTCTGTGCCTACTGACGGAGTGATTGTGTTCGGTGAAGGCCGAGTTGATGAGTCCATGCTGACTGGAGAATCAAAGACAGTAAAGAAAAGTATTGGAGACCGTGTGCTGGGGGCTACGCTGAACGTTGATGGTTTATTTCACATGAAAGTTACGGGAACGGACAGCGACACAGCTTTGAACCAGATCATTCGTCTCGTGGAGGATGCACAGACGTCCAAAGCGCCAATCCAGGCTTATGCCGACTATATCTCCTCCATCTTCGTTCCTACGGTAGTTGTTCTTGCACTTTTGACTTTCATTATCTGGTACATTCTGAGTCTTCTAGATGCAGTTCCCAAAAATTGGATTCCAGATTCGGATGGCAAGTTTGTGTTTGCACTGGACTTTGGCATCGCGACGTTGGTTGTCGCTTGTCCCTGTGCTCTTGGGCTGGCGACACCGACTGCGGTGATGGTCGGAACGGGCGTCGGAGCACAGTGTGGCGTCTTGATCAAGGGGGGAGAAGCTCTGGAAGCTGCACACAACGTCAACACAATTATTTTCGATAAGACCGGGACCCTTACAGTGGGCAAGCCTGTGGTGACGGATGAGTACGTGATCAGTCAAAAGATAGAAGTTAAGGAGCTGATCATACTTGCTGGCTCGGCTGAGCTTGGTAGCGAACATCCGCTAGGCAAGGCAATCGTTGACTACGCTAAGAAGGTATCGTCGTCTCTCGAACAACCGACTGCTTTCAACGGTGTTTCAGGGAAGGGGGTGTCGTGTTCTGTGGACACGCAAAGAGTTGTTGTTGGTAACATGGCATGGATGGTTGATAACGACGTGAAAGGGTTGCATAACCTCGAATTGGAACAAGTTACGAACAGTTTCCAGAACTCCGGTAAGACGTCGATTTACATGGCCGTGGATAACGAGCTTTGTGCAGTTTTTGCAGTAGCCGATGCTCCTCGAGAGGAAGCAGCTCAAACGCTGCAGCAGCTAACAGAAATGGGACTGGATGTCTGGATGGTTACCGGTGATAACGAGCGAACTGCTTCTACTATCGCTGAACAGGTGGGATTTAATCAGAACAACGTCATGGCAGACGTATTACCGTCGCAGAAGTCGTCAAAAGTCAAAGAATTGCAAGACATTGGCCGTGTTGTCGCTATGGTCGGTGACGGTATCAACGATTCACCCGCACTCGCTCAAGCCGATGTCGGTATTGCTATTGGGGGTGGCACGGAAATTGCAGTCGAGACCGCTGACATGGTGCTCATGAAGTCAAATCTAGTGGATGTGGTCACTGCGTTGCATTTGTCTCGCACCATTTTCAACCGTATTCGACTAAATTACGTGTGGGCGTTTGGCTACAATTGTCTGTTGATTCCACTTGCTGCTGGTGTACTGTACCCCGTGAACTTCAGCATCCCACCAATTTTTGCAAGTGCTGCTATGGCACTTTCATCTGTGTCGGTGGTGCTTTCGTCACTGGCACTAAAGCTCTACACCCCACTGAAGGTCACTCGAGATAACAAGGTCGAGTTACTGATCTCCAAGGATGAAACGCTATCTGCACCTCTTCTCGCAAACCATTTGCAGGAGCCATGAAGGACATTCGGGGCAGTTCGAGCTAAACAATCACGCTGAATCTTACCTACATGGACTCCAAACTCAAACTGTGTAAGCTATGAACTTGGATAGCTTCGCCGTGAGTTTGGAGCTGGAGTTTTTATTTTGCAAATGAACTTTAGCACTATTCAACAGCCGGACGAAATTAGGAAGAAAACTTTACACAGACTTGAGATTTGTCCGACAAAATTTTATCTGCTGCTACCAAAATTAGATGGCCTGTGTGGGTACTGCTGTACCGTTTTTGAGCCTGTAAAAAACGCTACCCAGCATGTAGGGTAAATATATTTCTTCTTCTATTTGGTGTGTGAAAAATACACCATGTTGTATCAGTCATTTTCGGTAATTTCTAGATTTGGGAATCGTGGCACTTTGCGTATTCTTGTGAGCTCTAGATTGTGCTGTTCTTTTGCTAGTGCTTTTGGTTCATAATACCAAACATACCAAATATCAAAGTGGTATACCAAACGTACAAAAATTACCAAACCACTTTACCGATCAAGTCTAAGGGTCCATGAAATATGTATTCGGTTGAATTTAGCTGGCTGCCTGCTTTCCAATAAAAGCAATCGCTTTATACAAAAAGCGCAAGTGCAAGTACGGCACCAGGTTGTAGAGGCAGTCATCCCACGAGGCACCACTTGGCAGGATTTCGAGTATGGCAATGCACCACACTCCGCACGAGCTGTCATCCTTTTGTTTGCAGCACTCCACCTTCTCAAAAGTCAGCATGTCCTCCATATGTAGAAGCCCCTCGAAAGCGGAACGTACGCTACGCTCGACGATAGCGTAATTGTGCTGGCTCTGTAGGGGGTCAAACATGAAACAGACGCCCTTGTTCGTTTCAGCCTGGATATGTCGGCTCACCAGGAATGCAACCTAATGATTCCCCACGTTGAAAATTCCAATGACACGCTGGTATTGCGGATTCCCAGCTCCAAACCCTCCCGACACGCGTTTGCACTGCTCTGGCCTAACAAATTCGTGAAAACTGGGACTAACAAATCCTACATCTGGGTATTCATCACGAAGCACCATCATAAATACCAGGATAGACGTCGTATGAAGCCACAAGTATTTACGAAAGTCCAGTAGCTGTCCCATCCGCCGAGAGCAGAGGACCTGTACATCTTCTTTCGCAGCAATGACCTCAGCCAACGCACGGTCATTATCGGTCGACTCCACCGCGATCGACTTTCTTGGATACATGAGTAGTAGAGCACGGGTTTCCCATCTATCATCGCCCGGCCAGTCTTCGTGATTTATCCTCAGCTTTGCGGCGGTCTTGCGAGTAACTCGCTGCTGCCCATGTATCGCGAGATGCGCAGCTTGCTCCTCCTGGCGAGAGCACGCAATTTGCTCTGCGCTATGAACCGCCAGAGATAACTGACTGTGCACAACAAAGGGAGGGAGATTAGACCCAGCCGGCCTAGCTTAATTCCTCAACTGACGCTCATTCTGACGTTTTGTATGCGCGCAAGCCCTGCTGTGTTCCGTTGGGCACGCGTGACTTTCCCGTGGCTGGGATACGGAGGGAGGTCGTCACTGTACCGCCTGTCAATCGTACAAGCTAGCTATTATCACAAAACCTTCTACTTGTAGCATACAAACGTACCATGCCAAGAAATCAGCTTCAGGGTTTGAGTCGCACCAGGAATGCTTTGTTCTGCCGCCGAGGGGGGAGATTGGCGAGTGCCAGTCGCTTCGAAAACGCGGGCTTCAAATTTTCAAAACGTTGTTAGGCTCTCGCCCATTAAGTATTTTAATTTTTTATTCCACTAAAGCTCAACCCGAAACGCGATAACGGCTTTATTCGACCCACGAAAAGTTGACATGATATGACAACAAGTACATTGAAAGTAGAGGCTAATTTTGGTAGCAGCAGCGAGTTCCACTTTATTCACCATCTACTGGTCTCTGATACACCTTTCTTCTCGCCTGCTTCATAAATACGTGCTTAATCGATTAAAGTCCATTGTTAACTGCCACACACCAGCATCTGCAGACATTCCGTGCTTTCTTTAAGACTGTAGGTTCCACTTCTCCGCTGCCCGCGACGTTACCCCCCTCCTCTTCCAAAAATTACCACGATGTGCCCCCTTGTCTATTGAGTATTCGTAATAAACAAGGCACACGAAAGCGAACACCCAAAACCTTTTTTCTAGCTTAAAGCTCGTTCATCTTACCGGTAGTCTTTGCTAATTTGAAAAATTAAGAACAAAGTTGTGCTTCGCCCGCAGAAGCTAAAAAGGCGGTGCACATAAAAATATTGAGTTCAAATGCCAATGCGATTCTTGTAGAGTTCGTAGGTATCCCAGAACTTTCCAAGCCTGTAAAGCATGAAGCTAGAAGTAGTCCTGATGAAAGTATATCGAGGGAGGACAGCTAGATCAACTGTATGGACAACATTACTCAGATCAAATTGCTCGCAAAAAGCTGCTTAGTAACACGCACAGCAGCACACGCCGTGTGCATGAGGCTTCGCAAAACTATATTTCAATGACATTTTTTTCTGCTTATTAGAGATTACCCTGAGTTTAGCTTGCTGTATATCGAAAACTAATTATCCAACGAATCCTTTCGACAACATTGCTCTGCATGAACGTTTTTTTCGAATTCTATGAGATTTTTTTGTAGGAGTTTTAATGTGCAATTCAAAATCGAAAAGCTGGTAAATTTAACACCTTGGTTTCGAACGCTGTATGATACGACATACTGACTTTGTTAAGTCGTATTAAACGACATTGTAAAAAGATCATCAGCAAATGACCCAGAAGAATAGTCTAATACTTTTATCAAGCAAACACCAATAATAACTTGACAGAGATCATTTTGCTACAAAACGAGACCAGGATAGATGAAGGGGACCAGCCTTGTCGTAGGAGGTCACGTAAGAGCCACTCATTCGACCTTTTGCTGGATGGCTCACATACGGAGGAGGCGACGCGAGAGGTCCACCGTGCCGGCTGACCACGATATTGCCTTCGGCCACTTATGGCGGCAGCTTCGGGAGGCGGGGTGGGAGTCCAAGCATCCGCTAGCGGTCTCCAGACTGAGTGGAGCTACGCGTGCCCTGACAATGCGCACGTGTTCGTGGGGGACATTGCGGTCGGGAACTACGCGTTCGACACTGGGCTGCTGGAAGAGAAAATATCTGACGATCAAGTCCGTGTAGAAGACGATGAAGAACTCAGCCAATAAGGGGTCGCTAGTGGTGGCGAATAGCATCAACACAATACCGATGACGACGTTCAACATTACTAGATCGGCACGAGCGCTCATCCTTCACAGCGTACCATGGATGAGCTCTTCGGACCCCCAAGTGCAGATGATATCGAGCTATCACATGCTGCAATTATGAGAGCGTTCAACCTCTTTCAAGGCGACCTACAAATTGACGATAAATAGCACGGTGCTGCGGCCGGCTTGCAGTTACACTCAGAGGCCTCTGAGCTAAAGAGCGAGGGTGGACTCAATATCAAAGAAGCTGAACCCCCCCCCCCTCCCACCCCGCGACGACGAACACGGGACCCGATGCAAGGCAAAGACGACGTCAATACCGTGATAGATGGGAGCATAGCAATGACTACGAAAACTTTAGCTCGGGCGTGAGTAACGATGATGAAATTTGCGACGGTGACAGTGATCCTTGTTATGATGGTCTGGACGGGGCCTTCTTATGTCATTGCAGGTTGGAAACAACGCACTCAGCCGGGCAGCCGTCAAGGATTGAGAGGAGGCATTACGGTCAATGAAATAGACACCTGCTTCATCGGAGTACGAGGAAGATACCCCAGCGTATCCTGGACTAAGAACGGAGGAGGCCAGGTCTACGCTTGCTAACAAACATGATCTGGTGCTGCACGTCGGGAGGAATCGCAATGCCGTACTTCTATCTATGGAGCCACACTTCGTCGGCTGTAAAGCGCTTCCGTGCTCGACCCCTCGTACCTTATTACGGAGCGTAACTCCTTCTTTTGGTTTGAAAGCACATAGCGCAGAAGTAACTAGTTTCGAAGCTGCGGACACCCGCACCCACGAAAACGGAGAACACCTTGAAGAGCCATTGTCGCCGCTTACCATTGTTCATCTCCTCCGTCTTCCAGGGCACGCGTGGGAGCTGGGGCAGTGACCAGGTCTGCCATATCATCGCCATCTACAAAGGCTTCGCTTTTTTACGTCAAGAAGTCTGTGTTAAATCGCCGCATGAATGCTGCATGAGTGGGCACAGGATTTTCCGCTTATTCTCATCGCATTTTTGTGTACGATAAACGCGTTTACCATAGCTATGCCGACATGGCCTAGAAAGGTTGTCTTGTTTTACCTCCGCATGCGGATCGCCTTTTATATTGAATATCGCTGTAGAAGTAGCTGATCGTAAACGTCGACGCCCCCCCCTCCCCCGTTACTCGTGATGGTAAAAAAGAAGCTGAGGCCAGGGAGCTCAAGAGACGAGGGAGTCCCTCTAGAAGTGGTCGTACCCGCACCGGGAAAATCGGTCTCATCCGTGATAGGCGTCGTGTGGATACTCCTGAAAACCAGCATCCGTCGTTTCCGGGAGATGTTCAGAGTCATTCGGAGCTGCGAACGCTGGGTAATGGAGAACTTTAGTTTCTTAAATAACTTAGGCTTTGAAATGAGAACTATCTCGCCCAGAAATATTTTCTAGTGAAATAGCGAAGGGTCGCGCTATGGGAACATAGTATTAGAACATCGATCGGTAATATAACCGTCATATTCAGATTTTCCCAGATACTTGTTATGTCAAACCTTGCATTATTTCAGAAGCTAAAGCTCTCTAATACGTAACATTGTTAAATTAAACCTCGTCACTGATACACCCGATGAAGCAATACCTACCACTTTGTCGTTGCTTAACACTGACGCTGTCCGCTTGGTAGGCGCAGCAGCCTTTTTGGCAAACGGTGACGGCTGCTCTGCAGGAGACTCCTTTCTCGCGGTCTTTGGTTTGACCGTATTATTTGCCGCGGCGGCGGTCAAAGGCATAGCAGTAGCTCGATCGTCACCTCCAGCGGGAGCAGGATGGGCGACTACTGGAGTTGTCGACGCTGGTGTCGCCGACGCTGGACACGCAGAGGAAACGGTCGGAGCAGCTGTGGCGAACGCTGTCAAATCGGGCGATGGTGTTGGAAGATGCGCAAAGGCTAGCCATCTATGGGGCCGACAGTGTCGAAGTAAACTCTCTTCACCTACGTAGCACAATACATGCTTGACATGTCCGTAGGCACTAGTAATTGCAGCGCACATACTGATAATGCTCGACACCCTCTTTTTCCGTGATGCTTCTGCTGTGTGGTAGGTACCGTTGGTCTCTGCTAATACCGTAGACCTCTCGAAGATTCATCCATTTTTGGTGGGTTTGAGCCAAATTTACCGGAATAATTTATCATAAACAAAGATACGCATCTTGACGTTATAGGAGTGATTGACTCTCATCGGACGGGTTTACTCGTAATGAATGACTGGCAAATACCCTAAGATTCTTATACAAGTAGCCACAAACCTTTTCCGTTAATATCATGTCGCACCAAATGCAGACATTTCAGCCGCCCTGTCTAAATTTATTACATACACTCTATTATATGCGAATATGGATCCATCAAGCTCTGTTGCCGAGGGTCCAGACCATTTTCACCTCTATAATTTAGATTCTGGAGAATTCGTGATGCCATATTGGAAGGGTTAAACCCCCATTGGAAATAAATGGCGCCCTGTTCTATATTACAATTATACTACCATCAGGTAATATTGTACACCTTAGTAAATTAAAGTTATTAGCACCTTTATTCTACGCCATTCAAATTAGTCTTTCGCAGAAGCCCCTAGTATTTCTTTCATTTTTTAATCTACTATGGAGCACATAGGCCACAACTTCTACTGCCATCGCAAGGTCGCCGAGACGAACACTACTTACTGGGTCTGCGCCCGACATCGAGCTGGGTGTAGGCTCGCCCGATTGCTCGTGACGGGAACGTCAGAGCACACAATGACCACAGTTGCACGATGGAGATGTCGCCACAAGTCGCCGACGTCCGCCAAGAAATGCGACTCGCCCTATAGGCAGCGTGTCTATCGATCCTAGAGCTGCCTCCCGGAATCGGTTTATGTCAGGCATTCGAGAGGCGTACCCTCAGCACTATCGATAGAGCCCCTGCAATCTTTGTAATAATAATAGTCGTGGTGTATTGTGCTACCAGTGTGCTCACTTGAACTTTAATACTCATCTCACCAGGCACTGACGAGTATATTCAAATTAAGTTAATCAGCGTATGACTTCTCTTCTTTCTCTTGCTGCTCTTCTCTGTCCATCCACCTTGTCACATATCCCCGAATTAATTTACTGCTGTGTTCGAGAAGCGAGTGGATCCCGTCATCGTGCTCCGCTCCTCTGATTTGAGTCCATTGAGCAGCTGGCCAGCCAATCCGCAGCCTTGTTGTACATTCGGTATCGATGGGACCATGATCAAACTTGATACCTGTCCGCAAGCGATCGTATCATTGTAGTAGCTTCTTGGAATTCGATTCCTTACGCCGCCGCAGGAGTCCCATAGCCCCCCTCGCTATTTCCTACTACGTTCATTCCCACCCCCGCCGCAC